AAACGCAACATGTTAAGCTAAACACAAGCTAAGGAAAATTCCAGCATTGCAAAGCCAAATGAAAGACATTCAGTACGCAAAACTAAACGCACTTCCAACATGTTAAACTAAACACAAGCTAAGGAAAATTCCAGCATTGCAAAGCCAAATGAAAGACATTCAGTATACAAAACTAAACGCACTTTAAACATAGCAATGCTTAACAAATTTCCAGCGTGGCATACTAAATGCATTTTCAATATGGCAAACTTAAGGTATTTTTGAGCATGACAAAGCTAAACGAATTTCCAATGTGTCAAATTAAACGCATTTTGAAATTGGCAAAGCGAAACGAAATTCTAGCATGGCAAACCATATAATCGTATACGTTTCGGTCTGCTTTCACGGACATCCATAAGACGGAGAATACACTACAAACAAAGCATTCTTTTAACGTATTAGTGAAGTCACTCGTGGAGATGGATCTTCGAAACAAGCTTCAACAAAAGGCTTCCCGTGTAATGGACAAACACTTCATAATATACCAAGTTATCGATATTCTTCTTCGAAAAGCATTCTACTTTAACAAAGTTTATTATGGATTTCGCGCAAAGCTCCACGAGGGCTATCCGCGCTAGCCGTCCCTAATTTAGCAGTGTAAGACTAGAGGGAAGGCAGCTAGTCATCACCACCCACCGCCAACTCTTGGGCTACTCTTTTACCAACGAATAGTAGGATTGGTCGTCACGTTATAACACCCCATGGCTGAAAAGGCGAACATGTTCGGTGGCAAGATTCGAGCCCCCGACCCTCATATTGCGAGTCGAGCGCCCTAACCACCTGGCCATGCCGGGCCTTCTACTTTAACAGAAAATACGGTCTACTGTATAGTTATTTCTGTCTACTCTTGTATATGCCCTACAATTAGATGTTCTTAGACTAGTTAAATAAAGAAACTGACGAATGGGGCAAAGCGACCATAGGGATCCACTTAATTAACTACAATTATCATCACTACTAACTCTTCGTAAATCACTATTAAATGGCTTGGGTGTAGTTACGGTTAGGCTAGACTGGAAAGACTCGAAGACCATTATCACGTGTAAAACTTTAACCCTTCATGTACGTGTGCGAGTACGAACGTGCTGAGACACACGTGGTTGGACGGACTTAATGTCTGTATGTAGAAAAACGCGATTATGTTCATTAACTTTATTCGAGTACTAGTAATATACAAATTATATTTTGAAGAAAGCCTATTAAATAATATAAATGGGTCAGTCCTAGCTTGACTTACTACATTGGATATTCCCGCTGGAGCACTCCAATATCTTGTAGAAGCTGTCATCTGTTTTTTATTTTATAGACTTGAAAGGTACGATCTGGGTTTGAATGTACTTTAACGTTATGTGTGTAAAGTCTCTAGGTAATTTTGGTTTTTATTACCCACATAATCTTGTACCAATGTTTTATCTTAAGAGAGTATGTGACCAAACTCAAAAGAAGAACCTTTTTGACCTAATCGACATGGTTAGACTATTATTCTAAGTAAAATTATCTTTCTGTTGTATTTAGTGTATTGTTCTTCTGTTTCATCTGTCTCAACGAGGTTCTTCACTGTACCTTCTGCTGTGTTTAGTGTATTGTTCTTCTGTTTCATCTGTCTCCACGAGGTTCTTCACTGTACCTTCTGCTGTGTTTAGTGTATTGTTCTTCTGTTTCATCTGTCTCCACGAGGTTCTTCACTGTACCTTCTGCTGTGTTTAGTGTATTGTTCTTCTGTTTCATCTGTCTCCACGAGGTTCTTCACTGTACCTTCTGCTGTGTTTAGTGTATTGTTCTTCTGTTTCATCTGTCTCCACGAGGTTCTTCACGGTAC